CAAGCAGATTGTTCAGCTAAAGGAGCACAATGTAATAGTTACAAAAAATGGAATCACTGGAGTAACACGTGCAAAGCTACAACAGTTAATGAAGATACGGATTTATGTGACAAATTGTACATTGACTGTGTAGAAAATGAGGACAATCTTGAAAGTGATATAGTGAAAAATGGACAAATGTTAACTGGAAACAGAAACAAGAGGGCCATGATGGCCCTGAAGTCGCTCACCTGTATATAGGCCCCCGGAGCGGGCCAGTTTAAACCCCAGGGCTTTTATTTGAACAAACTTGGTAGACACCCATTAGAAGATGTTTCATGCTAAACATCTAAGGTCTAGCTCGTTGGGATTTTTAAAAGAAGGTTTTTCCAAGTTTTTTCTTTACACATATAGTTAAAAACAATTACACCCCTGGGGCAGCAAGGGCTTTTATTTGAACAATCTTTGTAGACACTTACTAGCAAATGTTTCATGCTTAATATCTAAACTCTAGCTATTTGGGCTTTTTCAAAGAAGATTTTTAAGTTTTTGCTATACACTGTATGATATAAGGAAAATCAATGTCCCCCGGGGCGGGGCCAATTTTGACCCCAGGGCTTTTATTTGAACAAACTTTGTAGACACTCACTAGAAGATGCTTCATGCTTAATATCTAAACTCTAGCTATTTGAGTTTTTTCAAAGAAGATTTTTTAAGTTTTTGTCATACACATATAAGAAAATCAATGACCCCCGGGGAGGGCCAATTTTGACCCCAGGGCTTTTATTTGAACAAACTTGGTAGACACTCACTAGAAGATGTTTCATGCTTAGTATCTAACCCTTAGCTACTTGGTTTCTTTTCAAAAAAGATTTTTTTTTAGTTTTTACTATACGTATATAAGGAAAATCAATGACCCCCGGGGCGTGGGCCAATTTTGACCCCAGGGCTTTTAATTGAACAAACTTGGTAGACATCCATTAGAACATGTTTCATGCTACATATCTTAGCTCTAGCTCTTTGGGTTCTTTAAAAGAAGTCTTTCAAGTTATTACTATATGCATATAGGGAAAATCAATGACCCCCTGGGGCGGGGCCAATTTTGACCCCAGGGCTTTTATTTGAACAAACTTTGTAGAAACCCATTAGAAGATGTTTTATGCTAAATATCTTAGCTCTAGCTCTTTGGGTTCTTTAAAAGAAGATTTTTTAAGTTTTTACTAAATGCATATAGGGAAAATCAATGACCCCCTGGGCGGGGCCAATATTGACCCCAGGGCTTTTATTTGAACAAACTTGGTAGACACTCACTAGAAGATGTTTCATGCCAAATATCTACGCTCTAACTCTTTGGATTTTTTAGTAGAAGATATTTAAAGTTTTTTCTTTTGGTTGCAATGGCAACCAGAGTTCTGCATGGAATTAAATTCTTTGAACAATTTTCAAAGGTGACCACCAAAGGAACATTCCTGTGAAGTTTGGATGAAATTGGCTTCGTGGTTTATGAGGAGATGTTATTTAAAGTTAAAGTTTACGGACGACGGACGGACAATGGACGACGGACGGACGCCGGATGAAAAGTGATCACAAAAGCTCACCCTGTCACTTTGTGACAGGTGAGCTAAAAAGAATGTAGAAATGAAACTTGAAACTGGCTCATAGGTAAACATTTTGCCATTATCTACCTTTCAAGGTTTAAGAATCAAGGAACCACCTTAAAAACCCACTTCTAAATTGACAGCCTACAATGGCAAATCTTTGCGTAGTCAAGTACAAATCACACTCCCTCGTTTATAAATCTATGTAAGGCCAAGTAAAAAATGTCATGTTTCATGTCGTAGATACAAAATCCCCACCATTGTTAGGTTGCGAGATGTTCTTAAGACTTTAAGCTCATAGAATTCACACATTCAGTACAGAATGACTCTAAAAGTAGAAATGAAGAGTGATTAGTTCAAATAAAGAAATTTATTGAATTACTCGTATTAAATGTTGTAAAAATATATTCAATGATAATGACAATTTATTATAATAACCTCAAACACTTAAGATAATATGATATTTAAATATTACATTAATAATTGTAAAAGATGGAAGATGTAGCATGATAAGTTAAGCTGCATCATGAAACTCTAGGTGTATACAGCCCCTTTATATCATAAAGAGTTCCCTTACAATCAATGAGACTGCTATAATAACAACTGTCATATATATTACGGCAAGTTAGAGATTTTACTTATATATATATATATATATATATATATTTCATTTTAGAATTATAAACATGGAGCACATATATTTATGTTGTTCTTACACCCAAGACAGAACCTTTAAGACCCAAGTGGCATAATTAATGTCAGTTTTGCGAACCATAAAGCTAAGCTACATGCCAAAACTCTAAGCTCTTGGAGAAGAAAACTTAAGTGTACTTTCCTATATCAGTCTACATAAATAAAGTGACCCATGGTGCTGGACTAATTTTGACCCTAGGGACATGATTTACATAATTTTTGTAGATGATGCAACATGCCAAATATCTAAGCTCTGCACATTGTAGTTTCCAAGCAATGCTTTCCTTAAGACATTTTACTATCCAAGTGTATGTAAAGTAAGTGATGTGGTTTAGAAGGACATGTTGAGGTTAACAACAGACAAATAATGACGGAGGATGGCAAGACTGTTGTCACAAAAGCTCACCTTTGAGCACTTAGTGCTCATGTGAGCTAAAAATAAACAATAAAAATCAGCAAAACATAAACTTAACATATTGATAAAAATAGAAGTCATTATCAATCACATTTTTGGTGATTTATTTGCAGATTTATCTGGTGATTTATTTGCGGATTTATCTGGTGATTTATTAGGTGTTTTATTGGCAGTTTTTTAAATCAAAGTGACTTATCATTTTTAATCTTAAACCGATTTTAAGTTTTCTTTTTTGGATGAGGCTAAATTTCCCTTTTTAAATTCCATTTTTTTCATGTTCTTTTTAAAACCTTTATGTCTTAGCTTTTCCTGTTTATGAACCGAAAAAATAACTTTGTAATAAAATTATCATAATGAAATTACAACAAAAAACATTTGAACAGAAAATTTGTTGTTGAACATATTGAATTAAATGAACATGTAAACAAGAGGGCCATGATGGCCCTGAGGTCGCTCACCTGTATATAGGCCCCCCCCAACCTTGCAGGGCCAATTTAACCCAAGGGCTTTTATTTGCACAAACTTGGTAGACACCCATAAGAAGATGTTTCATGCTAAACATCTAAGTTCTAGCTCATTGGGCTTTTTAAAAGAAGATTTTTTTTAAGTTTTTACTATACGCATATAGTTAAAAACAATGACACCCCTGGGGCCAGGCCAGTTTTGACCCCAGGGCTTTTATTTTGAACAAACTTTGCAGACACTTACTAGAAGATGTTTCATGCTTAATATCTAAACTCTAGCTATTTGGGTTTTTTTCAAAGAAGATTTTAAGTTTTTGCTATACACATATAAAGAAAATCAATGACCCCCGGGGCGGGGCCCAATTTTTGACCCCAGGTCTTTTATTTGAACAAACTTTGTAGACACTCACTAAAAGATGTTTCATGCTTAATATCTTAACTCTAGCTATTTGGGTTTTTTCAAAGAAGATTTTATAAGTTTTTGTTATACATGTATAAGGAAAATCAATGACCCCCGGGGCAGTGCCAATTTTGACCCCAGGGCTTTTATTTGAACAAACTTGGTAGACACCTATTAGAACATGTTTGATGCTAAATATCTTAGCCATAGCTCTTTGAGTTCTTTAAAAGAAGAATTTTTTAAGTTTTTTACTATATGCATATAGGGAAAATCAATGACCCCCCGGGGCGGGGCCAATTTTGACCCCAGGGCTTTTATTTGAACAAACTTGGTAGACACTTATTAGAACATGTTTCATGCTAAATATCTTAGCTCTAACTCTTTTGGTTCTTTAAAAGAAGATTTTTTTAAGTTTTTACTATATGCATATAGGGAAAATCAATGGGCCCCTGGGGCGGGGCCAATTTTGACCCCCAGGGCTTTTATTTGAACAAACTTGGTAGACACCTATTAGAACATGTTAGATGCTCAAATATCTTAGCCATAGCTCTTTGAGTTCTTTAAAAGAAGATTTTTTAAGTTTTTACTATATGCATATAGGAAAAATCAATGACCCCCCGGGGGCGGGGCCAATTTTGACACCAGGGCTTTATTTTTGAACAAACTTGGTAAACACCCATTAGAACATGTTTCATGCTAAATATCTTAGCTCTAGCTCTTTGGGTTCTTTAAAAGAAGATTTTTTAAGTTTTTACTTATGCATATAGGGAAAATCAATGACCCCCCGGGCGGGGCCAATTTTGACCCCAGGGCTTTTATTTGAACAAACTTGGTAGACACTCACTAGAAGATGTTTCATGCCAAATATCTAAGCTCTAGCTCTTATGGTTTTTTTAAAGAAGATATATAAAGTTTTTTTCCTTCGGTTGCCATGGCAACCAGAGTTCTGCATGGAATTAAATTCTTTGAACAATTTTTAAAGGTGACCACCAAAGGAACATTCCTGTGAAGTTTGGATGAAATTGGCTTAGTGGTTTATGAGGAGATGTCATTTAAAGTAAAAGTTTACGGACGGACGACGGACGGACAGACGGACGGACGACGGACGGACGCCGGACGAAAAGCGATCCCAAAAGCTCACCCTGTCACTTTGTGACAGGTGAGCTAAAAAAGAACATGTAAAATAATAAAAACATGTAAAATAATATATAAATGTTACAAATAATAAAACTGAAAACTTTTTTGTTTGTTTGGCTTTAAGGCGCACCAATGCAATTTAGGTCATATGGTGCTGAAACAGGAAATATGATTTTGGCTTACCTCTTGGGTTGCACACTTAAAGCAACACCAGGGATCAAAACCATGTTACTGCTGGAGCTAAGAGATGCATAGATTCAAGATATTCAAACCCTTTAAGTCGCCTCTTACAATCACGCCAGGACAAACGGCATCTACAATTCTGATGCCTCTACCCTTAAAGACAACCCTTTAGTCACAAGAGGAAAATCTGAGAAATATAATGCTGGTATAAATAAAGCAGCATAACTTACACCCCATCCTAGTAGATCAGCTAAAGCGTAGCACCCATCATCACATGTACCTTGCCAGAACACATCTCTGTAATGTAATAAACAAAAGTAAGCATCAGTATAATCATTTCTTGTATCACAGATTGGAGACCTTTCTACTTAAAATAAGTCAGAGTTAAATCATATACCCTTAAGTGCACAGCGCATTTAAAAGGTGCAGGTATTAGTTACCTGCAATCTATTTACAACACTGTCTCTCAGGGATAAACATAGAGAAAAGCTTGTTTGATTGGCTATATTTTTTTCTGGGGTCAACTTATTATGACAACAGGGAAAGAGATAATGACATTAATGGGGGGGGGGGGGGGCATCATACATATCAGATAGCTTCATGTTTCAATGCTCTTTCTATTACTTGTATGAGAAAATGATATTTACCCTGTTTTTTCACATAACATGTTCTACTAACCCTGGTTCTATATAAGAATGTAATCATTACTCTATTGGCAAATTGATTTGTATTTATAATTTGTTTTTATAAGATTAATTCTCTTTCAAAAAAAAAATAAAATAAAAATTTTTTGTAAAGGAGTTGAAATTGCAAATAATTGGCATTTTTTTTCATAATGCCCAATCTTGCCAATATTGTGCACATGTATTACACTGCCAGATCTTGATGTCTATGATCCTGAGTTTATTGGGTTCAATATATTTGTTCTCATTTGTTAAATTGAATTCAGTACCAAATAATTGAAAGTAAAAAAGCAAGCAGTATAGTGTACATGTAATGTACATACTGGTTTTGACTTTATACTTTGTGCCCTGTGGCACATTAAATTTGTGATCAGATCTTTCCTAAACAGAAAGACCTCATATTTGGTTGATATCATATACATGCACTTTAAAGGTCATATGGCCGTACGCAGCATTTTTTCCAGTTTTAGTGAAGGAAGATCTCAGGTGCTTCTTTGTGCATTATACAGGCATGAGCAGTCACCTGAATAGAACCACTGACCTTCTGTAAGCAAGCTGGATAGCCTTGTCACACCAAAGAATCTAAAGTTCCTATTAGGATTCTTACCCACAGAGGTGATGGGCAAGTGGTATGATGTCATCAACCTTAACCTGTGAACAAATTTATCAAAGATCACAAGATTACCTGATATTGTCCTCCTTGTCAAAATCAAAACCACCGCCTCCAAAAAACATCATTGACATAAAATCACCTGACTGCAAACAAAGAAAAAACATAATAAAATACATTAATTTTCTATTTATTTCATGCCCATTCGTGGTTTTAAGTCAGTTTACTGATCTTTGCTGCGTACGGACATGCCCTCATCAAATTAAGACATCATGTTCATGTTAAAAAAAAAATCTGTAAAATTTCACATATTTTGTTACATTTTTTAACATGATTAACTAGTGCAGATATTCATGTGCTTCTCACATTTTACTCATGACGGAGAGTATTTCTGACAATATTTTCATCCACATTTAGACATATTTCAGCTACTGTGAAAATTACATGTGTGCTATTCTGATTGGCTGTTACACTCTTGGCAATTGTGTAGTTGTATATGCAAGAACCTGACAGGTATGTGTTAACACAACTAATTATGCAATAAAGTAAATCTAAAAAACTGAATAAATTTTTGGTTTAATAGGTCTATTAATGATGTAATGTTACTGCATTACATACATATTAAATCATTATTGCATTGATACAAAATGCTAAATGATAAAAATCTTTTCAGAAAAATTGAACTCATTTCTTTAGTTGAAAACTTATAAATGCTAGAATTCAAATATTATATTCACAAAACATACACAGCAGTATTTACTGACATACTCACCCCTGCAGAGGTATTTTCAAGATTTATGTACAAACGTGGTGTTGTTTCTTTTGTTCTGAAATTTCATAAATTTGTATTTGGTAACAATAAAGTTTACTTAGTCAAATAAAACAGTTACATGTAGTATATAAAATAAAATGTATCGAGACACCTATTATTGTCAATACATAAACTAAAATTTTAAAACATTCTCCTAACAGAGAGGTTCAAATGTACATAAAGCAAGGCCAATGATATAAAATCTCTCTCATATAATACAAATAATTTGACAGGAAGCTTAATATTTTAACTAAATGCAACATATTATCATCTTAGTGCAGTTACCGGTTAACTACTATTAAATTATATGAGGAGGTGACAATATGTTATATTTTTTCTTTTTGGCTGTTTTCCTTTTTTATTACCTTTCATATTTGGCTGTTTTCCTTTTTTATTACCTTTCATATTAGTTTCTTTGCCTTTTTCATTAGTTGCTTTATTTTGACCTGGGATGGGCAATATTTAATTTGTGTTTGTTAATCATTATACACATTATACAACATAATCTATTTTATGTTTATCTGCATAAGAAACAATGTACCATATTATAACAAACTTATAAAGAATAATGAATCTCCTACCTTGATGTAAGTGAAGCAAATGGCTGTACAACCAATGATGTTCCCATAACTATCAGACAATCACACCTGTCTAAATCCTGCAAATATTATATCTTTAAATGTGAAATAGTGAAATTTAATAGTGAAAAACCAACAAATTCAAACAGTTATCTTATTTCTGTTTCATTTTTTTTTTACCTTTCAATGAGGCTGCCCAAATTTAAATCTAAAACCAGTAGTTCTTGGTGATTATAGTAAATCTTTACTGCTTTCAAATATCAAAATTTAAATAAGGATTATAATTACAAAATACGTATATTGCTAAATGGTATAATTCTTGCATATCAGACTGGTGTGTCCATTAGTTTTACCCATGCCAGAAATGTCATCTGACAGTGCTGAATAAGTCACATGCTATAAAATGGTATCATTTTAGCACATTGTATGAATGAACCCTGTTAAAATGAAAGAATATGGTAGAATATGCAAGAAAAAATATCTGACATATGTTTGTGGTTCAGACTCCTTTGGAAGCCTTGCTCCTGCCAAATGGGTGGTTCCCAATGGGATGGATATTCTGATCCGAACCGCAACATATGACAGATATTATTAATCACACACAAAAAAGCAGCATAATATTTGTTCTGGAACATTTTATTTTGTTTAAGTACAGTATTTGTTTGCGTTAAATAAGAAAAATATTCTATGTTACATCTCTTCCAATAATTGTTTTTAGATTGTAATCCCTCCCCTTCATAAGTACAAAAAAAATTAGAATCCCAAAAAATAACCTTAGCCTTATTGCAGCAATTTCTTGATGACCCCCCCCCCCCCAATTAAACTTTAATCTTAAATTTAAAAGCTATGGTAATTTCTAGATAAAAAACAAAACTCACTGAAGCATTCTGTGCAAATTTCTGTGGTAAACTCTCTCCAAAAAATACAATGTCTGAAAAATAATTTGTCTTCACATTTACTCTTTGTTATTTACCACCTATATACAGCCTAACCAGTCTACACAAATAGGACATTCATAATGTCACCAAGCTGCAGTCCAATATGACTATCCGAGGCCAAATAACACAGCCAATATGAAATCATTCATTAATGACAATTTTATAAATTAACATTGCTGTTTATGGATTTTCAAACTAAATCATTTTAGTTTAATATGTGATAAGTAATATGTGTTAATGCACCTTTTTCATGCATTAACATCAGCAGAACTTGTATGAAGCCTTAGCCCATAGGTCGAAAGGATTTAATAAGTCTGAGAGTTTCTGCAGATGTTAAAGCTACTCTCCCACACAAAACAGGTCTCAAAAAATCAACATATTTTTACAGTTATTAAATTTGCATAGAAGTAAAATATGCAGTTTCCATGAGATAACTGTGACCTAACAGTTGATATACTTCACTTGACACAGATATAAACACCCCTTTTATCACAACCATTAACATATAGCAAGTATGACAGTTTGATGCAGGTCAAATTCACTATATAAATGCCTACAAATGTCTTAAAAAACCGGATTACCAAGATGTGTTCTTCCCTTTTGTCATTTTTTATCGACATAATTTTCAACGATATATATTGTGCAGCAGTTGATTGCAGGATAAAATAAACCAGTTAATTGGTGGGTTTACAATTTAAGTTAATATGTGCAAAATAAAATGTTGCAATGGTTTTAATCTATGGTATTGTATCCCTGTTTCTCGTATTCTCGGGGTTTCTCGTATTCTCGTGGAATAATTAAAACGGATGGAAGCGACGCTCGCGACGTCCGTCGATATCCGAAAACATATCTATTTAGCAGAGCATTTTCATCTCCATTAAAAAAATGAAGAAATGCGACAAAAACAGATAAAAAACCAAAATAACCGTGGAAATAATCGTAACATCCAGAGAATAAATGTTAAATTTATCAATTTTCTATTTTCTAGTTTTTTCCATGTTGCAGAAACCTTTAGCGGGTCTCTGACGCAAGACGCTTCAAATGACGGTCTCGCACTACTATTTATACAATACAGCTCAAAATATTTGTTCCACGAATAGATAGTATAAAAAAGATATGAACTCCAATTAAAAACCAATAATGAAACATTATTTGTCCTAAACACATTTCATTTTTGACAACTGCAATGGAAAACAGTAGTTGTCATTGTTTAATGCTCATATAACTAATAAGTAACTAATAGATAAACGTAAACTTAATATATATTAGAGAGATTATGTAAATAACAACACTAAATTGAGTTCAAACTATTTTTGGAACACTCAAAATCATTTGGTACCAAAGAGGTGTCAATATGATCCTAAAAGTTTGATATGGCCTGCGAAGCTGTTATTAAAACACAATAAAATTACAGATTTAGGCCATTAAACACTTAATTAGTTGTGGCACTAATGATTTGAACTGGTATGTAGAATAAAATCATCACATAGCGACCAGCCTTAACAACCAATCAAATTCCACGAGAATACGAGAAAGCACCTGCTTCACTCAGAGGGTGAAGGTCAGTATAATTAAACAAGCAGAAATATCTTTTGTTTTGCTTACACTTACGATCTTTCTTTCTTTGTATTTTGTTAATAAGGTATTTCTCTGTGTATCAGGCTAAAAATACTGTAACAAAATGTTTTATAAATATGATGCAACCAACTTTAGTCCTTAACCCCCCGAGAATACGAGAAAACAGGATAAACTTTGAAAATACTTTACTCAAATATCTTTTTTTTGCCGGACAAGACATGTATTAATCATCTAGTTCCATATAAATGTACGCGCCTGTGGTGAAATTTTATCTTTTGATGACATTTTATTTCAAGAACACCCAAACTGCAATGTGTGGGATAGTACCTTTAATGCACGAATAATGGTGCATTAGCCCTATTCTTGGACAAGATTTCGTCTTATTCAGAAATAACACTTAAATGTTTTACATGTATTTTTCTGCACTTTAAAAATTATTACCATTTTTATGAAATTACAATGAAAAATGAAAGAAGAGATATCAAATATGGAAACATCTGTTGTTATAAGAGTCAGATAAAAAATATGTTAAAAAGTACATAAAAGTAAAACTGAAAATAATACAAGTGGGAACTATTTTAAAACAGAATTCATATGCAATACCTGGTTTAACAACACCATCACAGTCCTCTTTTATACACTTTGGCACAACTGTCTCTGTTGATTTACTAAATATCTGTTCTGAAAATTATACTTCTATCATAAAATATATCATATTTATAGAATATTAGAACACAAATCAACATTTATTATTCAGCATGATATATATATATTAATATTTACATTAGTGGTGAACATAAAATCCTGTCCATGCAATTTACCTGCAATACAAAATCTAAATCTTGTTTGAAAATATATATTTTTTTTGGATTGGGTTTTATGTCATAATGACACATAAAGCAACATTCCAGGTTTGCTGGAGGAGGAAGACCTCATGTGCCCTTCTGTGCATTATTAGGCATGAACGGGCACCTGAGTAGAACCACTGACATTTCGTAAGCTAACTGGATAGCTTCTTCACATGAAAGAGTGCAGAGTCCCTGTCTGGATTCGGACCCATAGCGGTGAGGGGCAAGCGGTTTGAATCAGCAACATTAAACCACTGGGTCACAGATGCCCAATGGTGTACTTGAACAAGACATATTTTGTTTAACAAGAACATAAAAGAACTGGCTCTCTTCAGTAGAAGTATCCAAAATGTATTTCAAGATGCTATACAAACAAAAATAAACTAAAAGAATCTGTAAAGACGGAGAGATAAAGATGTGCAAGAAAGCCTTTACCAGAAATAGGGCCAAAAATTTGAAAACAATATGACATTACAATCAATTTATGCTTTATTTACCAACAAATTTTAAGCAATCTATAAAATAGATCTTTATTTTCAGAAGAAAATTCTCAAGGAGTAATGGTCAAGAGGTTTAAGTTTCTGATATACCTTTCATCCATTCTAGTGAATATTCATCGCTACACTCGAGACAATGCCCGGTGTTAAAGGAACCATGCGCCTCTACATTCTTATCATCACTAAGTCCCGCAACTCGCTCTAGTGTATCAATGTTCTGAATTATATAAAATTCTACAGTTAATTTACCTGTGTAAATATTTTTTAATAAAAGGGCAAATCTGTCAAAAGCAATCAAAGCAAAGTTGAAGGGTATAAATCTTTATCTTAAGAAAAATATCAATAAAATTTATCAACAGTAAAATTATATTGCTTCCATTATTATATGGTTGATTCCCCGAAAATGTTGTAACATATAATGTCTCTGTTATTTAATACACATGAATAATAATGGCAAGTTTTGACCCCAGGGCTTTTATTTGAACAAACTTTGTAGACACTCACTAGAAGATGTTTCATGCTGAATATCTAAACTCTAGCTATTTGGGTTTTTTCAAAGAAGATTTTTAAGTTTTTGCTATACACATATAAGGAAAATCTATGACCCCTGGGGCGGGGCCAATTTTGACCCCAGGGCTTTTATTTGAACAAATTTTGTAGACACTCACTAGAAGATGTTTCATGCTTAATATCTAAACTCTAGCTATTTGGGTTTTTTCAAAGAAGATTTTTAAGTTTTTGCTATACACATATAAGGAAAATCAATGACCCCTGGGGCGGGGCCAATTTTGACCCCAGGGCTTTTATTTGAACAAACTTTGTAGACACTCACTAGAAGATGTTTCATGCTTAATATCTAAACTCAAGCTATTTGGGGTTTTTCAAAGAAGATTTTTTCAGTTTTTGCTATACACATATAAGGAAAATCTATGACCCCTGGGGCGGGGCCAATTTTGACCCCAGGGCTTTTATTTGAACAAATTTTGTAGACACTCACTAGAAGATGTTTCATGCTTAATATCTAAACTCTAGCTATTTGGGTTTTTTCAAAGAAGATTTTTAAGTTTTTGCTATACACATATAAGGAAAATCAATGACCCCTGGGGCGGGGCCAATTTTGATCCCAGGGCTTTTATTTGAACAAACTTTGTAGACACTCACTAGAAGATGTTTCATGCTTAATATCTTAACTCTAGCTATTTGGGTTTTTTCAAAGAAGATTTTTTCAGTTTTTGCTATACACATATAAGGAAAATCAATGACCCCCTGGGACGGGACCAATTTTGACCCCAGGGCTTTTATTTGAACAAACTTGGTAGACACCCATTAGAACATGTTTCATGCTAAATATCTTAGCTCTAGCTTTTTGAGTTCTTTAAAAGAAGATTTTTTAAGTTTTTACTATATGCATATAGGGAAAATCAATGACCCCCTGGGGCGGGGCCAATTTTGACCCCAGGGCTTTTATTTGAACAAACTTGGTAGACACTCATTAGAAGATGTTTCATGCCAAATATCTTAGCTCTAGCTCTTTGGGTTCTTTAAAAGAAGATTTTTTAAGTTTTTACTATATGCATATAGGGAAAATCAATGACCCCCTGGGGCGGGGCCAATTTTGACCCCAGGGCTTTTATTTGAACAAACTTGGTAGACACTCACTAGAAGATGTTTCATGCCAAATATCTAAGCTCTGTCTCTTACGGATTTTTAAAAGAAGACATTTAAAGTTTTTTCTTTCGGTTGCCATGGCAACCAGAGTTCTGCATGGAATTAAATTCTTTGAACAATTTTTAAAGGTGACCACCAAAGGAACATTCCTGTGAAGCTAAAAAGGTTAAGCTAAGTTTATTATTTGATATATGAAAAATATATTGGATACTTCAGTGTCCAATATAGAAATATTTTGGATAGTCACATGATTCCTTTAAAATGTAAATAGTTCTTATAGAATAAAGAAACATGATGCAAATCTACCTGTGTAAAATGTCTCATTAGCTTGTTCTTCTTCTCTAGAAGCTTGATAAAGTAATGACAAGGTGTCGGCTGCAAATAAAATAATATTGTTTCATACACTTGCAAATAAATTTAAACAAAAGAAAACAAGAGCACCGCTAGGCGGAGCATTATATGCCCGAAAGTGGTTTTTTTTTTAGTAAGGATGAAGCATTTGTAAGACATGGGAATTCGCTGTTCATCCTATAAAATTTTACAGCTGTAGGTTGATTAATACTTAAGTTATTAATAATGACCTTAACCTATGACCTTGTGACCCCAAAATCAATAGGGGTCTTCTACCTTATATGGACAATCATCCTAAGAAGTTTGAATATTGTGGGCCAATTGGAACTTTAATTATGCTCTAGACACTGCTTTCAGTATTAAGGTAAAAGTGACTTTGACCTTTGACCTTGTGACCCAAAAATCAATAGGGGTCTTCTACCCAATATGGACAATCATCCTATGAAGTTTGAATATTGTGGGCCAAATGGAACTTAAGTTATGCTCCGGACACTGTTTTTGGTTTTAAGGTAATTGTGACCTTGACCTTTGACCTAGTGACCCCAAAATCAATAGGGGTCTTTTGCCCACTATGGACAATCATCCTATGAAGTTTGAACATTGTGGGTCGAATGGAACTTAAGTTATGCTCCGGAAACTGTTTTCAGTTTTAAGGTCATAGTGACCTTGACCTTTGACCTTTTGACCCCAAAATCAATAGGGGTCTTCTACCCACTATGGACAATCATCCTATGAAGTTTGAACATTGTGGGTCAATTGGAACTTAAGTTATGCTCCGGAAACTGTTTTCAGTATCAAGGTAATAGTGACCTTGACCTTTGACCTTGTGACCCCAAAATCAATAGGGGTCTTCTACCCAATATGGACAATCATCCTATTAAGTTTGAACATTGTGGGTTGAATGGAACTTAAGTTATGCTCCGGAAACTGTTTTCAGTTTTAAGGTCATAGTGACCTTGACCTTTGACCTCAATATCAATAGGGGTCTTCTACCCACTATGGACAATCATCCTATGAAGTTTGAACATTGTGGGTCCAATGGAACTTAAGTTATGCTCCGGAAACTGTTTTCAGTTTTAAGGTCATAGTGACCTTGACCTTTGACCTTTTGACCCCAAAATCAATAGGGGTCTTCTACCCACTATGGACAATCATCCTATGAAGTTTGAACATTGTGGGTCAATTGGAACTTAAGTTATGCTCCGGAAACTGTTTTCAGTATCAAGGTAATAGTGACCTTGACCTTTGACCTTGTGACCCCAAAATCAATAGGGGTCTTCAACCCAATATGGACAATCATCCTATGAAGTTTGAACATTGTGGGTCGAATGGAACTTAAGTAATGCTCCGGAAACTGTTTTCAGTTTTAAGGTCATAGTGACCTTGACCTTTGACCTTTTGACCCCAAAATCAAAAGGGGTCTTCTACCCAATATGGGCAATCATCCTATGAAGTTTGAACATTATGGGCCAAATGGAACTTAAGTTATGCTCCGGAAACCAAATTGCTAACGGACGGACGGACGGACGGACGGACGGACGGACGTACGTACGGACGGACGGACGGACAGACAGACAGACAGACAGACAGACGGACGCCAGGGGGTATAACATAATATGCCCTTTCGGGCATATAAAAATTATACACAATACAGGTCTTTAAGATGTTTATAAGGTAATTGAAATTATTAAATAAGTTATGACTTATAAGCAAACATATATAATTATGCATGTTTACCTTGTACGATTCTGGAAATAGGTCTTTGCACAATGTGAAAAATGGTTCCGGATTTTCCTGCAATAAAAATGTTATTTCAAATGTTATTTTCATGCTTTTTAAATGGACTTACCATTTGTCTTCTCTAATTAATTTAAACATATTGATTTTAGCTTTTTACTAACATATTTATAATGAAACTGAAATATGCAAATGCATCAAAAACCCTGTCGTGGCTGGGATTTGAAGTTATGACCAAGAAGAAAGAAACAAGGCCCTTACTGAGGGAAAGAATTGATTCCCTGACACAGTTGTCAGAGGTTATACCTATAGTTATTAAGGTAGGTAAACACTCAACCATAACAAGCTTGAATCTTACTAATATTTAGAACTTATTTGAACCAATTTCGAGTCCACTGCCTGGTTTAACCAGTACTAGTGACACATGAGGTAAAATGATTGTGACCCCCAGCAGGGCTCGATCCTGCAATATCTTAAATGAGAGGTGGTCACTTTAACCATCAGGCCACCAAACCTAAAAATTATTCATGTGTAAAGAAAATCAAGTACTTTTAACCATACTTGCTTAAAATTATCAAAAGAGAAAACAAAATAAGAACTACTTTTTACATAGCCTTTGTACCTAAAACATAATTAAAATACATACACTATACAAGAAGTTTATATCAATCTGTTAAAACAAATCATATATCAATCTATTTGAAAAATAAACATCACAATCATTCATAACGTGAAAATATGGATCATAAAAGTTCCTCTCTAATTTTTTAACTTTGGACCCCAAAGTTGAATTTATTTATTTTTCAAAAATATGGATCATAATTTATAGATTAATCAAAATGTTCTTACCAAAATTTTCATTCACCTTGAAAGTTAGGATTCAAATAACTAAATTTAAAATATAATTTCTTGCATCTGTGATATGAAAATCTATTGTATTTTTAACCTTTTTGAATTATTATTATGTTAAATATCGCAATGTCAAAGACGAACTAAGTTTAACCTTTTTAGAACTTACATGGAATACACCATTTATCAAACACAGACCAAGTTAAATCTTTAAAAATTGACATGTGAATACATCATTTATCAAACACAGACTAAGTTACATCTTTGAAAACTTACATGGAAACACCATTTATCAAACACAGACTAAGTTACATCTTTGAAAACTTACATGGGAAACACCATTTATCAAACACAGACTAAGTTACATCTTTGAAAACTTACATGGGAAACACCATTTATCAAACACAGACCAAGTTAAATCTTTAAAAATTGACATGTGAATACATCATTTATCAAACACAGACCAAGTTAAATCTTTGAAAACTTACATGGCAAACATCATTTATCAAACACAGACCAAGTTAAATCTTTGAAAACTTACATGGCAAACATCATTTATCAAACACAGACCAAGTTAAATCTTTGAAAACTTACATGGCAAACATCATTTATCAACCACAGACCAAGTTAAATCTTTGAAAACTTACATGGAATACATCATTTATCAAACACAGACCAAGTTAAATCTTTAAAAGCTGACATGGCAAACATCATTTATCAAACACAGACCAAGCAAGTTAAACCTTTGAAAACTGACATGGCAAACACCATTTATCAAACACAGACCAAGTTAAATCTTTGAAACACCTTTTATTTACACAGACCAAGTTTAACCTTAAATAAATTACATGGTAAACACAATTTATCAAACACAGACCAAGTTAAATCTTTGAAACTTACATGGAAAACACCTTTTATTTACACAGACCAAGTTTAACCTTAAATAACTTACCTGGGAAACACAATTTATTAAACACAGACCAAGTTTAACATTGGAGAACTTACATGGAAAAAACCTATATCAAAGATGGCCTGAGGATGTGGTAGATTATATTTCTGCAGGTTGTCGTACAATCCACTACCTGGTGATCTAAAGTCAGGAATACCAGCAGCTGTAAGAAAAATGTAGAATAGTATTTACATCTACATGTACTTTCCTACAAGATGGATTTCATATTAGAGTATAGTAATTTTTCAACTGAAACAATAAAATTCTTACATCAAATCCTTGTTTAACCCCCCCCCCCCCCAATTTAATACCTCATCAAATTTGATATTACTTTCTTCTGAACATCATTTTGTTTTGTTTTTTTTGTTTGTTTTGGGTTTTACGTCACATTGACACAGTATAGGTCATATCGCGACGTTCCAGCTTTACTGGTGGAGGAAGACCTCAGGTGCCCCTCCGTGCATTATTTCAGGCACGAACGGGCACCTGAGTAGAACCACAGACGTTCCATAAGCTAGCTGGATAGCTTCCTCACATGAAAGAATCCAAAGTCCCTGTCGGGATTATCATTTTGCAAAGTATAATCAGATTAAATATAAACAAAAGAGTCATGATGGCCCTAAATGGCAAGTTGCCAAGTGTAACCACAAACTATTTTATATGGAACTGAAACAATTTGAATTTTTTTCTTACAGTTTCACCCTAAGATTCTTGTTAAGTTTTATACCTGCTATTTGTTAACAGAAAGAAGTCAATTAAGAATTTACTGATACATAAAAATCACTTTGATGTTTTAAGAACTCAACTGTGTTATGGCAATATTTTGTGACATAAACAAAACCTTTTTCCAATCAAGGTCAAATTAGAATATAGAACATCTTATGTTACAAAAAAACTTTGATCCTGACTGAACTAACATGAGTAAGTTAAAGCTAAAACAATTTTTAAAAGTGAATACTTTTCTGACATACATGTTGATATTCCTGCACCAGCCATGGTAACAATATTCTTGCACTTGTCACTTTTAAAATATCTAGCAATGCCTTCAAAACTGACTTCATCTAGGACACTCTCTGGCTTCGGTTCATCACTGATGTTCATAGATTTCTTCATACATTCTGTCAGCCATTCAGCTTTTAAATAAAAGTGCATGTTTAATTATCTATTAGTACACTCCAAACATTTCAAAGAATCCTTAGTGAACATTTCAATCAAGTGAAAATCGAAAATTTCAAAGAATCCTTAGTGAACATTTCAATCAAGTGAAAATCGAAAATTTCAAAGAATCCTTAGTGAACATTTCAATCAAGTGAAAATCGAAAATTTCAAAGAATCCTTAGTGAACATTTCAATCAAGTGAATATCAAAAATTTCAAAGAATCCTTAGTGAACATTTCAATCAAGTAAAAATTGAAAATTTCAAAGAATCCAGTGAAAATTGAAAGTACGTATTAGTGAAAACTGAAAATTTCAGAATGTCAATTGAATATTAAAAATTTCACTGAATCCAGTGCAAACTGAAAATTTCAGAGTATCCAGAGATAAAGTTTAGAGTATCCTGTAAGAAGTTCAGAGTATATAGTGAAAATTTAATGTTCAAAATTATCAAGTTAAAATTTCAGAGTAGTCATCAGTAACGCACTTACACTAAAGCATTTTTATCTATTATGATTTGGCAAAAGTAGTCATGTAGTTAATTCTACAGTAGCTTGCAATTTTAACAACTACTGGACATACATGTTTATTAATTTCAAAAATTAAAGTATAAAATGTCTTAGGTGTACAATTTTCCATTATCTGTACATCTTCCCAATCCAGTTTTACTTTAAACATGTTATCATATATATATGGTAACAGTCATTATTTAAATATTTATTCTCAGCATATTAATCTGCCTCAAAGAATCACATAAAATGGCAAACAAAAAAGTCATTTACTAAAATGTTCTTGACTAAAGGCTCTGTACCAATTCTTCAAACTCCAGAGTAAATAGTACAAGTCAAACTGAGCATGTTTTTTCTGATGTTTTGATTTCTGTTGTTGTCGTCTTTTTCTGGATACTACCACCATTTTATCTTTGATCGGACAAGGAAAATGTTATACACACTAAACCGTCCAATGTAGGATTAATTGGATACTACAGTGTCCAATACAGGAAATATATTGGACTGTCACCAAACATATTTCAAAAGATATCATAATAAGTAAATACTTGTTTGAATAATTTATGTAAATGAATAAAAGAGTCTTATCAATTTTAATATACACATTAGTGCCATATTACCTCCACTATCCGACCATAAGTGATATCAATTCACTTCATATGTATTTATACCATATATTCTTGAATAAATGCCCCATACCATTTTTTTTTTACTTACAAAGATGATAGTGGTTTATTATATATTCACGGCAATTAGCACAAAATTTACCACTGCTGGTGCTTTTTATATAGTATCCAGCCAGAAACTAATACAAAAAAGTTAACATAATTTCTTTTCAATTTAATGATATTACAACTTTTACACATGCTAAACTTTTGCCCCCAAGGTAGCTTTTAGAGAAAATATGGTACATATGAAATAAATCAGTATGTTACATTTGTATACATTACCTGTGGATTGGTTTGATGTTGTCTGTTCCAGAAGACTTGGCTTTTTTTCACTCTTGTCCTCTGCAGCTTCGGCCCCTGATGCCGCATCTGCTCCAACTTCATCCTTGCCCTTGACACCATCTTTATCACTGGCTGTAAATTATAAATAATATGTTCTTGTTTATTTACATGTGAAGGAACTTTGACTAGCTTACAAAAAAAAAAATCTACCTAGGTGGTTGTTAATACATGTACTTGAACCTCTAAACTATTCGACTAGCTTGCAAATACCTACCTGGATGGCTTTTAAAGCTACTATCCCACATTTTATAGTTAGGGCATTTTTGAAATAAAATTTCATCATTGGCACGTAGGACTGTCATTGAATATGGCAATATTTATATATTATCGATATTTGTCATCCGATACAATATCGATACACACTTTCAAATATCGATACAAGCTAAAATTCATTTATTTCTGTTGGTGAATATACCTCTCTATTCTGCCTAATAAGAGAAGTCACTTTTTTCCAGTTTTCTTGGCTAACTTGAACTTTAAACTCTGTTTTCAAATTTCATAAACAAAATAACAGAAAAAACAAACTTTGTAGTACAGTGTAATGTCTAATAGAACATGCATAACACCATGATCCCAAATTATAACACATATCTAATTGTTTTTCATTGTATCTACATGTACTGTCAAAGTCGATATATTGATATATCATCGATATTTGTTTCTCGATATATCAATACAAAATTTACCATCAATGACAGCCCTATTGGCTCATGCATTTATATGGAACTAGATGATTAATACATGTTTTTCTAAAGAAAAAACATAAAAGTAAAGTTTTTGCTATGTTAATGATGCTGTATTATTTAAACTGTTGCAATGTTTTATTTTGTAAATATTGACTTAAATTATACACACACTGGTTGCAAGTAGTATCCGTTGGTTGCAGATAGAACAGATGTGTACTTGGTAAGTATTTTATTCTGCAATTGATTGCTGCACAGCATTTCATAGAAATTTATGTCTATAAAAAGAGACAACAAAAGAAAAACATATATCGGTAATCTAGTTTAAAACCGTAAGCTCTACCTGCCTCAAGCAATCTACTCTCAACTTGTTTAAGGGTGTGCTTTAAGAGATGTTTATATCTGTGTCAAGTGAAACATAACAACCGTTAGGTAACAGATATCTCAAGGAAACTGCTAATTTTACTTCTATGCATACAATGTATTTAATAACTGTAAACAAATATGTTGATGTTTTTTACACCCATTTTCTGTGGGAGAGTAGCTTTAATACTTGAACCCCTGACCTACCACAGCATAAAATGATTACTCATAGCTTAACATCACACTGTTATATTTTATACCAGACTTCAAGTATTTGTGAACATTTATTACTTGTTTATTACATTGTATTTATAAAACCCTTACACTGTAGTGAAACAAGGAAGAAATGTATTATGATCTACTTTAAGAAGTTTAAATTTTTTTTATGAGTGCTGTTATTTGTAAAAGGAAATTATGGAAGATGTTCAACACCTGGTCTCAAATTATTTTATTAACTATCAAGGATGTATTAAATTTTGTCAATTTGGGAGTGTACCTGTATCAACCTTCCATAATTGGGAAAAATTCTTAAATTTGAAAATTCTTAGCAGAAAATCAGTCAGTCTCACAAATCAGTTTTATACACTCCATTACATGAATTTTCCATTAAGAAAATAAGAACATAAGGTCATTTAATAGAATGACTTCAGAATGTTTTCTTTGTTTTCATCATTTTCCAGCTTTTTAAGAACAATATTCCTGATAATCTTCAACCTACATTTTAATAAGAACCAGAAAAAATGGCCACTATTTTTGATTGAATGAAAATGGGGGAATTTAAGCCTTCATTACAAATGAACAAGAGAGCCATGATGGCCCTGGATTGCTCACCTGAGATACATGTTCAATCCTAGGAAAGTTTACAACTTTTCAATTCAGAAAACAGAAATTATGTCACATTGGGTTTGTCATTTTGGACCTAAGCTGCAAATCTTATACATTGATTTATACCACAGATGGCTGACTCAGCCACACTCGCAGTTTTTTCTTATAAAATAGTTATAGTATTTGCCATAACAATTTGTTTATGCAAAGTTATATTTATGATTGAATAATATTATATTATATTAAGTTTAAGTTGTAACATTGTTGTATTTTATGCTCCTGATTTGTTGTTAAATTATTTGTATGAAAGATCAATTCGAGGGTTCAAAGGTAAAAGGTAATAACTGCCATTTTCTAGATTTCGAGAAAAACGCAAAAAACATATATTTTAATACAACTTTATTTTTCGTAATATTTTTATAACAATTTTGATTATCCCATATTTGTTGACTACATTATATCATATTTTGTTTAGTTTACCTTGCTTGGTGCTGATAAAACACTTGTAATTATGTTTTGTTTTAAAGTTCTAAGATTAAAATAATATCATTTTACAGAAGTAAAAGGTAATAAATGTACTTAGATCCTGTCAAGACAACAAGTTTGAGCGGTAAAAGGTAATAATTGCACTTACGACCTTTTACTTCTGAAGGTTTAGCAATAAAAGTTAGAGATAGATTGTGGTAAAAGGTTGTTAGTGCAGTTATAGCCTTGTTCCTCTGAAAATAATTTACATGTTGCAGTAATTGTTATTGTTGCAAATTTATTAATTATGTACTTACTTTGAAGAACACACGTAATGTCATTAACACACATGCACAATAATACTCGTACACAAAATTGACAATTTTCATTCATAGAAATATGAAATATGTACCAGCTCAATATTTAGATTCTACAGAAATAAATTGATAACTAAAAAGTTAGGGAAATATGCACTAAAATCTAAGTTTACAAATTTTCATTTATTTTGAATGTTCTTTGGTACAATGTATATAATCGAACTGAAGTCAACCAGACCCCAGACATCAGCAATTAAGGATATTAGTGACCCATATCATAGTTAAGTAAATAAAGACTACTGTTTCATGTCACAAAATGTGAATGTTTGTCATTAATTATTCCATGAAGTTCACTCATCTTCTTCACTCTCGCTAACAGTTTGTCTTTTATAGATTTGCTGCATAGCAATCACTCGTAGTATGATTCGTACTCCTTCGGAATTGTCTCAGAGGCAACAAGTGACATCAAATCAGCTTTTTTTTGCAGCATATATTGAAAGTTTCTCTATATAAGCCTTTCGTGGAGCCTTTAGGGACTTTTCTTTGCTTCTGCTCTTCTTCTGCATTAACCTAACTTCCTTGAACTCACTAACATCAAAAACCATAGTTCACAAAATTACTGTATTCCTTCATTTCTTTGTCTTTACGAACTTGAATCCATTTTATATTCAGCCAATAAACACGTTCTCCATCAACATTAATTTTCATTGAGCCAAAGTTTTGTTCTTTGTACAACTTGTAATCTAGTACGTCAGTTTATTTTATTAGAACAACAATATATGTTTGCTTCCGGCGTGCTAATGATATAACTGTTTCCCACTGAGATGGAACATGTACTTTTGTGAGGCTTTTTGCATGCTCGATAGATGCATGTATGGAATCACATTCCATTTCTGAATGACCACTTTGGAGTAAATTGTGGTTTATACACTTGATGTGTGGAATATACTGGACACAGTGAACTAAGCAACTTGCAACAAACTGATTGCAATTCTGTCCCCCACATGTATCACTATATAATGTCACTTCTTCAATAACAGATGTACGTCTTACTTGCATCAGAAGTAACATACAAGTACACACAAGTTCCTTCTTCGCACGAGCCTCGTTTCCCTGTGTCTCATCCCAAAGATAACAAGTCCCGTTACCATTTCCCAGTTCATAGAATGACAAATTGGACAAATTGTAACAACACAGTTTTCTTTTGTAATAAAGTTCACCAATTAAACTGCATGGTGTTTGGCGATACAGCCTGGATATCAAATGCCAACACAGAAAACTTTGGATCTTTCTTTGCCCGTTCTTTATCGGTTGATTTTTCCATTCTAGCATTATTTTTTCTTTCTTGGTGTGCCTGATATTTTGCTTTTGCTGGCTCATCTAGTCTATCTTCTATTCTCAAAGTGTCATACAGATTGCACTTTCTTAGGATGGAGGAAAGACAAGTTACATTCTGTACAGAAAATGTTTCTGTACACAGCCTCTGAAACACACCTTCTATTTTGTCCTTTGCATTTTTCTACATACAGTGAGTACATTCGTCTTATACTTAAATATTGTGTTAGATTCTTCCTGTTGAAAGCTTCTCGCGTGTAGTGTGATTCAAAAGTCGGAGAGCTTTCGATGTGTTTCTTTACAAATGATCTGTGATATTTCTTTGTTTTATTTCCAGGCACAGCTTTCCCTTTCTTGTCATTTCCAACATATAACCCTGCCACTTTGTGCTTAACTGCGTTTGCAACTGTTTTGGAACCGACATCGAGAGTTTTTAGAAAAAGTCATTGCACACTCTAACCATTTTGCCACCAACTGTGAAGAAAAACGAATTTGAAATAGTTCTTTGTTTTCTTCTCTGTTTAGATACCTTTTCTGGTTCTTTATTGGCAACATGGAAACAAATGAATTGCCGCTGACTTTTGTAATCACCCATTGACCAGTATGTACTGAATATTTTCTGTCTTTCATCTTCGGTTATATTCTCACTGCATTTAAATCTACAAGATAAATTTCTTGGGGAAAGAGATAACAGATAGTGCCTGTGAACTGTATGAATGCAGTATTCTGTCAGAAGAAAAAGGTGATAAAATCAGTTATAACCTTTTTCCACTACAGATTCTTCATAACATGGGGAACAACAAGTAAACAACAGGTAATAAGTACACTTAGAACCTTTTACCCCTACATAATTTGTAGAAAAGAAGTTATTACAAAATACTTTTTAATGTTTGAGGATTGAATATTTGTATTATATTTTCGCCAAACATAAAGGACAATAAGTACATTATAAAAAACATAAAAAGTCGATTTCAGCAAAAATGGCAGTTATAACCTTTTACTTTTGAACCCTCGAATTATTAAATCACATTTGTTAATTAAGCACATTATGTGACATGTTACGATGTAATTACATGTATAATCAAAGAAACTTGTTTCATAACGGTATGATCTGAGTGGAATAAATAAATAATCAAATTAACAATTTTGAAAATCAAATAGAAAATTTGAAATAAAATAATGGAGAAAAGCAAAAACAATTTTAGCAACTTATAGCAATTGTATTTTTAAATAGATAAAAATCGAACATAAAAGCAGAATCAACTAGAACTATCGCTGAATGCGATTCATACCCCCACCAATGCCCTTGACAGAAGACGACTTGGAATGGTGGTTAAGAAAATAACTTTAGTGGCACATATACATAAAAAGAAATTATCTCTGGTGAAAAAAAAGACTTATTGTACAGGTAATGGTATAAATATATATTGTCAAATCATGTTCTAAACAGTTACAAAAAAACTTTCATTTTCCAATGTACTGAACATTTTATATGTCAATTTTTGACCTTCAAGTGTGACTTTGACCTTAAGCTGGCACAAGGGTAAGATGGGTTCTGCATATTACCCAGTAGGGGTGAACATTTGAGTGAAGTTTGAAGAAAATCCTTCCACTAGTATAGAATTTATAGAGCGGACACAACATATTGTCTAGTATTGATTGTATGTAAATTATAAGACTTAAAAAGGGGCATAACTTTGTCAAAAAGCAATACAGAGTTATGAAACTTGACCTGCATATCTTATTTGTAACACCTCATATATCTTTTAAGTTTCAAGCAAATACCTGTGCTAGTTTCAGAAATATTCAAGTACATGTTAAAATTTAAGAACATTTTCTAAGTAAATTTTTTACCTTCAGGTGTGACCTTGACCTTTAGCCGGCACAAAGGTTACATGAATTCTGCACATAACCTTGTTGAGTTGAACATTTGAGTAAAGTTTGAAGAAAATTCTTCCATTAGTATAGGATTTATAGAGCGGACACAACATATTGTCTTATATTTGGTTGTATGTAAATTTGAAGGCTTAACAAGAGCTGTCGGTAAGAAAAGCAACGCTCGACTATTCTTAGTGCTTGAAAGTAAAAAAAAATGCTTGATAAAGATACCTCCTCCTGTTTACAGGTTAGGGTAATGATGGTGAACAAGTGTGCAAAGTTTCAAAGCCATATGTCAATGGACTTTGAAAATATTTGAGGTATTACAAAAACTTTAACGTAAATTCTAAGTCGAACAAGAGCTGTCGGTAGGACAGCACGCTCGACTATTCTAAGTGCTTGATAGTAAAAGAGCCTTGATAATGTTAAATTTTTTAAGTTCACAAAAGGGCTAATTTTATTTTTTAAATTCATGTTATAGGCCTTAGAGAGAGTCTAATTATACAGTATTGGCTTGATTATTCAGAAGGTAATGTCACAAGGGTGTTTTATTGAGTATAATAATACTAATTACCTATGAATACATAAATTTGACAGAAAAGGTACAAAGGCTTGTTATTAAGATGTTTTATGAAGTAAATCACTGCTTTATTATTATGAATGCATAAAATTGTCCCAAAAAAGGCACAAACCCTTCAGTAGTTATTGAGCTTACAAGCAAAACTTTACCATGAATTTCTAAGTTGAAAAAGGGGAGAAAAATCAGCCTAAATGCAAGATAGAATAATGGATCTTTGTCAGTGACCTACAATTATGACCCTAAATGCATATGTGAAGTTTTAAATAAATATCTTTAATAGTTATTGAGATATGTAAAACTTGCATGTAAACATTAACCAAGAGACTAAGTAGAAAAGGGGATATGAATCAGCCTTAATGCAAGATATAGTTATGGAACTTGGTCAGTGACATACAATTATGACCCTCCAATTATGACCCTAAGTGCATGTGTAAAGTTTCAAGTATATATCTTTGAAGACCTTTAACCTTTAACCAAAATTTCAAAGTTTCAAAGGGGCAAATAATTCTGCAAATATTGCAGGCAGAGTTATGCAATTTTGCAAACTGATGTACATTGTTACTATAAAAAAGTATTTTAAATTTCAATTGAATATCTCAAGCAATAATTGAGATATTTGACTTTACAAAAAACTTTAACCAAAATTTCTAAGTTAAAAAGGGGCATAATTCTGTCAATATTGTAGGCAGAGTTATCCAACTTGTCAATCTGATGTACCTTGTTATTATAAATAAGTATTGTAAGTTTCAATTGAATATCTCAAGCAATAATTGAGATATTTGACTTTACAAAAAACGTTAACCAAATTTTCTAAGTTAAAAAGGGGCATAATTCTGTCAATATTGTAGGCAGAGTTATCCAACTTGTCAATCTGATGTACCTTGTTACTATAAATAAGTATTGTAAGTTTCAATTGAATATCTCAAGTAATAATTGAGATATTTGACTTTACAAAAAACTTTAACCAACGCAGACGCGGACGCGGACGCTGACGCCATGGCGACTACAATAGCTCTCATATTCTTCAAATAGTCGAGCTAAAAAGGGGCAAAATTCTGTCAAAATGCTTGATGCAGTTACCGCCTCCTGTTTACAGGTTGGGGTAATGATGGTGAACAAGTGTGCAAAGTTTTAAAGCCATATGTCAATGGACTTTGAAATATTTGAGGTATTACAAAAACTTTAACATAAATTCTAAGTCGAAAAAAGGGGCATAATTCTGTCAAAAGGCTTGATACAGTTACCTTCTCCTGTTTACAGGTTGGGGTAATGATGGTGAACAAGTGTGCAAAGTTTCAAAGCCATTTGTCAATGGACTTTGAAAATATTTGAACTATTACAAAAACTTTAACGTAAATTCTAAGTCGAAAAAGGGGCATAATTCTGTCAAAATGCTTGATACAGTTACCTCCTCCTGTTTACTGGTAAGGGTAATGATGGTGAACAAGTGTGCAAAGTTTCAAAGCCATATGTCAATGGACTTTGAAAATATTTGAGGTATTACAAAAACTTTAACGTAAATTCTAAGTCAAAAAAGGGGCATAATTCTGTCAAAATGCTTGATGCAGTTACCGCCTCCTGTTTACAGGTTGGGGTAATATTGGTGAACAAGTGTGCAAAGTTTTAAAGCCATATGTCAATGGACTTTGAAATATTTGAGGTATTACAAAAACTTTAACATAAATTCTAAGTCAAAAAAGGGGCATAATTCTGTCAAAATGCTTGATACAGTTACCTCCTCCTGTTTACAGGTTAGGGTAATGATGGTGAACAAGTGTGCAAAGTTTCAAAGCCATAAGTCAATGGACTTTGAAAATATTTGAACTATTACAAAAACTTTAACATAAGTGGTTACGCCGACGCAGACGCCGACGCTCGGGTGACTACAATAGCTCTACTTATTCTTATCGAATAGACGAGCTAAAAAGGGGCATAACTTTGTTAAAATGCAATACAGAGTAATGAAACTTGACCAGCATATCTTAATTGCGACACTTCATATATATTTTAAGTTTCAAGAAAATACCTTTTCTAGTTTCAGAAATATTCAAATATTTAAAAATATCTTCTATGTCAATTTTTGACCTTCAAGTGTGACCTTGACTTTAAGCCGACAAAAGGGTGACATGAGTTCTGCCCATTACCTTGTTGAGGTGAACATTTGAGCCAAGATTGAAGAAAATCTAGGACTTAAAGAGCGGACACGACATACTTTCCAATATTTGTTTGTTTAATTTTTGACCTTCAATTGTGACCTTGACCTTGAGCTGACACATGGGCAACATGAGTTCTGCACATCCCCTTGTTGAGGTGAACATTTGAGCCAAGTTTGAAGAAAATCTTTCAATTAGTGTAGAACGTAAAGAGCAGACACAACATACTGTCTAATATTTCACAGAACATGCAATCTTTACTTAATGATAAACAAACTTCTACGTATATGTTAGTGTTCATCCGTGCTGTTCTACAGAAACAAGCATTTGATAGTATTGCGGGCAATACAGTAGTCCCCTACCGGTCCCTCAAAAAGTTCTTTAATTGTCATACACTCCTGTGTATTGCCATTTATAATGAATTTGAGGATGAAGTCTGTATTTGAAAATATCGACCACAAAACATAATAAAATAAGTTTGTTTATATCACAGTAATGTGTTAAGTTTCCATGCTTAGTAAGGAAATTATGTTTATACAACCTTGTCATATTATTACGATGTGGGATTTTAAAGTAAATCCTATAAGGAATGAAGAAGTTGGAGTGAAAATACCAGTTTCTCGAAAAAAATCTAAGTTCAAGGGGGACATAATTCTGGAAATAGTCTTGCTAGAGTATTTAACCTTCTAAAAATCTAAGTTCAAGGGGGACATAATTCTGGAAATAGTCTTGCTAGAGTATTTAACCTTCTCAAAAATGTCGAGTGATAATAAGAAACATATATATGAAGTTTGAAGTAGATACATTAGGAAATAAAGAAGTTATTTAAAAAAGACAACATTTTTTCCCCTAAAAAATCTAAGTTCAAGGGAGGTAATATTAATATTTTTTGTGCTAGAGTTATAAACCTTGTCACATATGATGTGGTTGATGACCAGGAACTTATATTTAAAGTTTGAAGTAAACACCTTAAGAAATAAAGAACATATAGTGAAAAGGCTGAAAAATTTAAATCAGAAATCTTGAAATTCAGGCTATTTGTTGCCATAGCAACCAGAATTTTCAACATAGGAAGAAAATAAAAAGATGTGCATAATCTCCAGACTGCCATCTACCCATATTTCAAGTTTCATAAAAATATTTTCAGTACTTTTTGAGTTATCACTGGATCCAGTTTATGTGTTAAATTTGCCATATTTTCAGACTATTTGTTGCCATAGCAACCAGAATTTTCAACATAGGAAGGAAAAAAAAAGACGTGCATAATCTCCATACTGCCATCTATCCATATATCAAGTTTCATAAAAATATTTTCAGTACTTTTTGCGTTATCGCGGGATCCAGTTTTGTGGACGGACGGACTGACGGACTGACAGACCTGACAGACAGACAGACGGACAGACAGACGGACAGACAGACAGACGGACAGACGGACGGAGGGTAAACCTAAAGTCCCCTCCGGTTAAACCGGTAGGGGACTAATTAGAAACTTCAACTGGAGCGATAGCAACCGAAGGATGTTTCTAATTTCTGTAGAACAGCTAATTTCTGTAGAACAGCTTCGGATGAATACTAACATATTTAGTGTCAAACTTTATTTGGCCTCATTAATATTCACTTTATTATGTCACTACCAGCGTGCTTTATTAATCAATGTTTAAATTTGATCTTATAAATATGCATGATTTACGTCACTTTGCGCGCGGAGACCCATGTACCCGTTGGCGGCATATGACTGATGCAAGTTGCCATTTGTTCAATATTGAAGCATTTATTTTCGGAAAACATTTCTGATGAGTAAGATAATTGTTACCTGATATGATTTATACACTTTTATGGAGACAACTGATACTCAGTAATGTATTTAATATGATTTATGTGTAGATAAGGTCAATTTACTGGCTTTCTGTATACTCATCCTATATTTACAAACACAGTTGTAATCACTGTTACTGAATAACTAACTGTACATTTTCATTCATTCAGGCATAATCACATGACATCATTTTCATTCATCATTATAAGAATTATGGGTAATGTCTTGTTCTTGTTGTGAGTTACTTTGCTCAGTGAACTGTCTCTTGTTATCCTGTGTTGTTAAGTGATGTCCAATAAATATCTTGTATATTTGTTAAGTAAGAATGTGATTGGATGAGAGTGATTTCATATCATTTTATGCGCGGGCAATTTACATTCCTTTTCTAAGAAATCATTTTCATACTTTGCATTGTAAGGTGAACTTCAGTAGTTCTTCATAGAACATTTTGAATATTGTACGTATTTATATAAATCAACTTTACGTTTGTTCTTTATAGAACGGATTTGATATTATTTTATATAACAGAGGTCAGCCAGTTGCACCTGGTAAGATATGTTTTACTTTAAATTACTTAAAATAAATGTAATGAAATGTATGAATTAAATAATTGAAAATAATTGAAATTATTTGAAATATGAAATGTTGAAATGATATCGATATAGAATTTGTATTTTAATTTGTGTTTTGTATTTCATGTATTTATAATGGTTTATGCATTTTATAGGTTTTCATATTCACATCATCAAAATAAATATTGAACACCCAGTCAGAGTTGGTCATGTCTTTCATCCAAACCATACTCTGCATATATATGTATACACTAAATGTCATGTGTTAACACAAGGTCACGTAATATATTTTCCAAAAACATGATGTCTACTTTCACTTTCTGTCTACCGAAAACAAAAGTGAATAGACATACGTGACTTTCCTCTTAGTTACAAAATACAAATTAATTAAGCCCTTTTTCTATATTCGTAATTTTGTATTTACACATGCAGTATCTTTTTCGCCAAAACGTGGATTTAAATCTGAACAATGAATGCCAAATCAATGTAGGTTGACCTTTTGACGTCATTTTCACTTAATTAATATTCAAAAGCGACCCACGAAAGCGCATGTGCAAATTTATGCAAATGACTATTTTTACAAACGCGATTCTATGAAGCACTTTGAAAAATAGAAGGTGACTATGAACAGAAATTGATATTGTATCGACTTTTGTTCTTCTATGAAAATTAACACTCATTATTTTGAAGAAATACAGCGTTTTCAAATGACGCAATTATCAGAGCCAAACAGCAATTATTTTCTGTGCCTTTTCTGTCATTTTTAAAGGTGTTGAAAATCATTGAAACAAAAAAGAATAATTATATATACTTATTATGTAATTTGTAAAGGATTTAAATTGATGTTATTCAACTGCAACTAAACAATCTTTTTATTATCGCCATTTGTGGAGACGACAACGATCGACATTCATACTTCCTTTATCCAACATATGGCCATTCATCTCTAACTCAATTGTGATTTCTTGGTTAAAATCGTCATTTAAAGACATAAAATGATATATGCATTTTTGACTTTAATAAATTTTGAAAAGTGCCATATGGCTAGACAAAACTGTGTGTCCTGGCTAGTCGTGCGTGGATCACATACGGCAAAAACTTTTGGCTAGCCCTAAAGGCCCGTACGATTATCCACTTTCTATTTCCTTTATTGTCCACTTTTTCCCTCTATATTTTTTGGAAGTGACTAGCCGTACGGGCCCGTACGGCTAGCCAAAAGTTCTAGCCGTACGTGAGTCACATACGACTAGCAAGGACACACTGTATTGGCTAGCCGTACGGCACTTTTCAAAATTATATGGAAGTCGAAAATGCATATGTTATTTTATGACTTTAAGCGAGGATTTTAACAAGAAACAGCATTAATTGTCTTCGGATGTTAACTTTTTAGAGATTAATCGCCTTGATGGCTATATATATCGATCTTTGTCATCGCAAGATGTCGAGAAAAAATAGCCTTTGGTTGCATTTACACCAATTAAAATAGTTAACAAAATTTTGATAATAATCTTTTTTTGTTTCATTAAGTTTAATTTTCGACACCTTTAATATGAAAAAAAAATCAACAAACACTGAAAATGATTGTTGTTGGGCTCTGATAATTGCGACAATTACCGACGGTATAGAAGTTTGTCTATCATTAAGGAAAGTTTGCATGTTCCGTGAAAGGCATTCTAAAATGCTATTGTCAGTCCCTGGATAGGTTTTAATTAAGGCTAATTAATTGATTGACTGTGCTTTTATGTTCGATATTTATCTACTGTTTTGAAAATTACATAATTATTTTTGCATTTCACCGTTCTTTTTATTTATTTATTTATTCCACTACGATCATTATTTATTCGATCCATGTGCTTAATTAACAAAAATGATTTAATAATTCATCTTTCATACAAATAAAACAACAAATGATAAGCATGAAAATCAACGACATTATAACTTTCGACTTCCATATAATTTTGAAAAGTGCCGTACGGCTAGACAATACAGTGCGTCCTGGCTAGTCGTACGTGACTCACGTACAGCTAGAACTTTTGGCTAGCCGTACGGGCCCGTACGGCTAGCCACTTCCATATTTTTTATTGTCAATGTAACTGTTTGATGTACTACTGATTTTCTTTAAATATTAGACAGACTTCTACATTTATTGAAATTTCATATCAATTTATGGTTGACATGTGTAAATTAATCTTATTCTAAAATCTAAATTATATTAAAAAATAGGGGATTTAGCTCAATACAGGATTGGAGCAGTACCTCTAGACGCTTGCAGAAATCATGATCACAAAATAGACAAATATAGTTTTTTTCGCATATTTTTACATTTTTCCTTCATTATCGCACTTAATTCGGTGTGATAAGATGAATTAGACCTGTTTTAGTTCATTCCGTTGGGTAAAAAGGCAAGATTTTAGCATTTTATCATTCAAGCGCCTTGTCCGGTATATACCGGAATACGGTATTTAGTGTGGTGCTCCAATCCTTTTTTTAGTCACAGCCAAAAATAGGGCACTTGATTTATGGCCATTATGTCCCGGGACGAAATGTCTTGAGGCCGAGATGACTTGAAATCCATATAGACGATGGCGCTAACGGAAAACAGATTATTTTCCCAATATGTTGCATTGTGAGAGAATATACACATTTATTCCATGAAGTTTTAGGCAGTCTGTTGAACTGTCAATGTATAATATTAGTAAAACGAAACAAGACGTACCGACTTCTTTATCCGATGACATTTTCTTTCAATGTTTACATTAACCGTAATCTCCCAGACGCTTGCAAAGTATGAACACCACTAAATATTTTCCCTCTTTTGCAGTAAAACTCGAATAAATAATGATAAAACGAACAAAATGAAGATTATCATTTATCAAAATTATTTTTCCTTATTTTCGCAATAAACATTAGTTTTTGCAGATTTATAGCGTTATAAATCAAACAATGGTTTATGCTACAGTATACTGTATCATGCCCACTGTTTGATTTTTAAAAAAAGAAAATGTCAGCAGAAAAAGAAATCGTTTTACTTGTATTATAATTTATAAACACTAGGATTTACAGTAAAGAATCTTGAAATGTACATACTTCTAAAATCGCTATAAATTGGACATATTAATATAAAATGAAATTCATCCTCTATATCCCCGGACGTACATAATTTAATGTGCATTTTCTCTGACTTCTTTCAATACTCATGTGTCTTCCAGATTCAATATGTAGTTTATAGGAATTTAATCTATTTTTTGCAAAAATTTATCTGTGTTTTGCATTTTCTAATAAATTAAGATACAGAGACCTTTCATATTTAACTTTAACATTGGAAGGAATACAATTGCAAGGAAGAGCATAACGCCATGTCTGCTCGCCATTGGGTTATATATATGTTCCTGAGACGTGATCTGAATACTGGTATAAACATTTTAATATTAACCGATTCTGGAAATAACCAAACTTCGGCAAATCCAGCGTTTTAATTTGTAACATGTCTCGAACTTTTGATGACCAATTGACAACATTTGAGTTATTTGATAGATCATATCTTTGAGAATTTAGAATAGTTGATAAAATGCAGTTTCGACTCTTATCGCCGTGTAACTTTACAGTAACCAATATTTTGCTATCCTAACATATCTTTTAATATACAGAGGAAATCTACCTAGTTCAGAATACAATGATAGAGTATTTGTTGACATTTTGACATTTAATAACGATTTACAAAATTTTCTTTGCACACGTTCAATATTTTCAGCTTTATTAAAGCCCCATACTTCACGGTTATAATTCAAAATAGATAAAACATAAGCATCAAACAAATTGAACATTATTTATATAGATATATCTAACTCTTTTGTAATGTTAAGTAAAGCGTTCATTGCCTTTAAGCCTTTTCCACTAAGGGTATTCGTTGCTTGTACAAACGAACCGCCACTAGAAAATACAATTCCTAAATAATTGAAGTTTTGAAAAATTTCTATACCAATTCCATCATATAACCATTTGTACTCTCTAAGAGAAGAATGTTCAAGTTGTAACTTAATACGTACATGTATAAGGAAAACGTAATCTTTTATATCTTCATCAAATCCCTCCCAAGGTGTACACGTCGCGGGGAAAACAGTCATGGCAGGTCAAGATTAATTCATCCCAAGTACCAGGGATAACTGGTTTACCTGACGTGACTAACTCAGCAGGGTGACACTAATTAACAAGGGCCGTTTTAATGTCATTTGAGTGAATTGTGTACGACGGACGGACGACCTGCGTGTCAGTTGAGCTAAATGTATTATACCCCTTCAGTACGGTTTCAACGAACGATAAAATAG